AAATATTCTGAATAAATTGTTTCTTGTTCCTTCAAAGAGTATACTTGCATTATTATGCTATTGTATTGTCACTATGTAATCAGTGGCATAAAATGGTCCAAAAATTACAATATTGTCTACCACAATTCATTTTGGTGCAATATATCGCACGCATTTACTGCTCTACAGTGTTTTAAGTTAAATGTATCCACATCAGGCTTTCACACTGTAAATCACAACCACAGTGCAAGCCTAACATCCTCCCAAGAAAATAATAATTAAAAAAGACTAGTGCAAGTCCATCATTCCAAATCCGACTGGAAAATGAAAGATGAAGTGACTCAAGTTAAAATGGTTTGCTCACAGAGACGTGTGGGTTTTACTGTACGCAGCAGCTGGTGGGAGTAAACGGGAATGAAGAAGCCACCCTGCCAGCACAGAGAGGGTGGAAGATACTGGCAGTGAACCAAGAGCCCATGTCCCCGTTCTATTGGGACAGCGGTAGCGGGAGTATATGGTACGGTCACCATCTTGCCTCAATCACCCCCATATCTCCAGAGAGCGAGACATGACCCCACTTAGGTACGAGTGCATGTGTTCATTGGTGAGCAATATCAGTGACAGAACCACATCGGGGAGAGAGACTGAGTACGTTTTTTGCCTGAACATTTCATGGAATTTTGTGGGATGACCAACACAGTGTGGTGCATGCTTAATTCTCTGTGACCCGTTTACAGCGTCCCACGCTTGCTCAATGCGCACTGATGGTCATGTGATATACGTATGCAACGGTCAAGATGTGGACGAGTATCTCGAAAACGCTGAAAAAGTCCGTAATAAAAACATCTACACGGTTTTCCAATCCCATCAGTGTAGTACTAAATAAACCGTCCGGTTGCCAAATGGTAAATGTACAATACCCCAAAGGTTTTTTTGCTGTAGTACCAGTAGTATTATCTGAATTTCCGCAAGGAATTATATCAAACTACACACCTTTCTAGAGATCCATCGATCTGCAACTGGTCGTAGACTGGTGACCAACTAACGCGCTGTATCCTGCAGACTAGTATGTGTTCGATTATTGCATATCTGTCCTCACTGAATTCATTAAATGAGCACCTCTGTTATGACACGTAGACGTATCAGCTGTGTGCTTGAGGTCAGACTGGGGACATGGCCACTGAAAAGATGGGTATGCTTACTTGCTATCTTCCTACATTTGTACACTTTAAAAACACAAAACACATGTTTTATATTTTGATACTTACTGGAAATTACATCCAACATAGGCAACAGTAAGCATGTTGTGAATAGCAATTTTCAGCTCCCTCTGGAATCTCCCTCCAGCCAGTTATCGGCAATTTGAGAAAGTTATTTAACAATTTATTATGAAATCATACTTTAACTTTCCATGAAAGTAGTCAAAATGTATGCTGTTATTTATAGTTCTTAGAAATACAGATAATAGCAATACGCACAAATGAGAATCAGAATCCTTGGAATCAGCTACGAAAATTGCAATCGGTTTATTTCCACTTTTTACAAAAAGAATAATTTTTAAATCAACTTCACCCCAAAGAATATTTTAAAAGGGGCACATGTTTGATTCTCTTAACTATTCAAATATTACAAAAGCCTCTTTCCCAATTTCCATATTAAAAAAGTATTAGGCCTGATCAGGATAAAGAGGATCTCCGTAATAACTGGCAGCTCCTCACTTTCACTAGCAGACACGCACCCAACCACCGAGGACTAGAGTTAGAAGATCCCCATTGCCATATATGATCAAAATAAGACTGCTTGGCTAGAGAGGGAAGGTCAGCAATAAACATCAGAGCCTATCCCCTGATCCTCTGCCTAGTTCAATCAGACTGTTCTAAAAGGGGTGCCATAACCCGATAACAAGACGTACTGCGGAGACCGGGAGGATCAACAAGAACAACCTCATCAATGAGGACTTGGCAAACGACTGTACATTGAACGTCTACCTGGGATGGCGTGCTACCGAGCCATCTAATGCCTTTAAGCAGCCTTTTGGTCTCGTCAGACACCCCTTTCTCAAATACCGTGCTTGGCAAATTCTATGAAGATGCCAAAAATCCCTTTTTGACGTCCCTCGAGGGACTTTCCTTTTGCTAGACATTCAGTTTCTCACATTTCACGTTCGGCCCACATTTTCATGTCAAAGCTAATGCAAACTGGTACAACGTCAACTTGACTGGGAGCTTACGGTTTGTCCCCGGTCAGCACTTTGGGAAACCCTAATGCGTTTGCTCTTCCCTCTCACTTTACTGACCGTTCACTCGCTCCAGCAGTTCATTTACCCGATGCAGCAAAGGCCACATCTCCTGGTCCACTGTGTTTTGACCAAGTAGAGGCAAACCACTGGCCTGTGGAGCAGGAAGCTGTCAGTATGGCCTGATATGGCCTCAGTGACAGGCAGCCAGACTGTGGGCAATGTTGCAGGGCTGGCGTAGCTGTTATTTTCTGACCAAGCGGCTAAGTATGATGTTTTTATAGTTTTTTTACGGCAAAATGAACCTGAACATTCGCCCTCTGAAGTCTGCAAACGTGTCTGGCATGAAATAAAACCTTGTAACCGTTTTAGCGAGGAGAAGTGGCCGTTTCGGCGATGCACCGCGGCAGTCTAGCAAACCTCTGTCCAGGTAGAGGAAACCTGAATTACTGCAAGAAAAAACACTTTGATGGGGGATTGCCAGAAAGCTGTAATATAAGTTAATAATAACTTGCAGATTAATCAGATTTTCAGCAGATAATGATCTGCAGATATTACTGAAAAGAGGTTTCTTCTCCAATGCAAGAATTTAGCTGTTCTTTATAATCTGAATTTTATTTTTTTTTTAATTGCATTTTTTAGCTCTACTCAACATTAATCATGCCAATATGAATTCAGACACACAAGACCAGATGAGAGCGTGGTAATAAAACCTTAAAAATAAATATGAATCACATACTGTAACAAGATATTTCAGAACAAAAAATAATCACTACATCTATTAACCTAAAATTGAGAATACTTGGCCTGAAGAAGGTTTTGGGCTCAGAGAGTTCAGCTGAAAAGTAAAGCTCCTGTCCTGCAGGGTAGCTAATGAATGGACTTCTATCGCATTCGACCAAGATGAATTAATGTCCGGTACTCAATACGTAGCGCGATATCTCGTACTACCTCTTCAAAACACATTTGAACCGATGCGTTCTTTGTCCTCAAGGAGGAAACTTTCAGCTTTCCGTGTGGAGAGGCCGACAGCTCACTGAAGACTGTGGGCCGGAGAATAACGCCAGGGGGGATAATAGGAGTCAGTGACATCTCAAAGTCTCAGCAGCGGATGTGTTTAACCAAGCCTATTAAGACCTACACTAATCCTGCCTTACACGTCCTTATCCAGGCGTCCACGGGCAGCCTTAACTCACACAGGATGGGCCACTTACACCATGACTGATGCCAAGTCTTGCTTTCTGCATTTCTCTCTCACACTCACACACACACACACACACACACACACACACACACACACACACAGTTGATAGGTGTGTTTTAATGTCTGCTGTGAAAATCAGGGCTACACTGAAAATAACCTAAACACCAGATGTTTTATACGGAGGGTAAAATGATCACATTTTCTAAAAACCCCGGAGTCTGTCAACCCGGCCGTTAATTGATCATCTGGCGAAAGCAATTTGATTGCACCACGTAAGCGAACCCCTTTTTTAAACTGCGACACAGAAAACAACCCCTCATTTTTCACGCGCTCACCTTGGCCACCAGGTAGGATGGAGTGCAATAATGATTCGAAAACGTCCGACAGAACGGAATACGTCCCATCAGCGCACGGCTGGAGCGTGGCCTACTTATAGGAGCCGAGGTATCCAGCGGGGAAATGAAAGGAGACACACATGTCGAATAACCAGGGCCGCTTTTGGGTGGGCGAGAAATGGGAGCAAACGTTTGAAACCAAGGATGCAACCTAGATAATTCTAATTGTCCTAAAAATGGACCCTTTCCTTTTACCAAGGGGCTTCGTTCATAGTAACTGGGGGGGGTTAAAAGCTAGCTTGTTAGAGATGCTTGCACACACACACACACACACACACACACACAAAAACCCTGTTTTCCTTGTGAAAGCAATGCACGGGGTACTTGTGATAAAGCATGGCCCAATGTTCCTTTTTTGTGTCCACAGAACAATGAATCAATGCGGCAGAGAACAACTTATTCAACAGCAGCTCCCACTTGCCCACACACCAGCTATAAAAATAGCTAACATTAACCTACTCAGCTAGACTCCAGGATGAGGGGGCCAATCCCGCATCACCCTCGTCCTCTCGGAAGGGGTAGATTTGGGACACGGGGTGAACACCAATACGTCAGAACAGTTATAGTCGAATGAGTGGGACACCAAGCGAGGTGTGTAGCCGGGGCGCCTTACAGCTTCATCCAAGTTGAACAAGTGTTATGCAACCTTGAGAAAGCAACAGTGTAAAGCGACCCGCGGCCGCTGCTTCCATCATCGAGCGTCCGTCTCCGCCGTTCAACCTGCACCGACAAACCACAGCAGCGGTTCTATTTATTTGTATCATTCTGGTCCACAACTTCGAACCGGCCCGCTGACCCGCATGCGGTGGCCCGTGCACCCGAAACGCTCGACACCAAACGAGCCGTCCGTCCGCACACTCGATGCAAGTAATGCGTAACGTTTCCCCGAGGAAAGAGACAACATGGCCAGATAGTCAACCTTTGCCGAAATGCGCCTTAAAAACGAGCCAGCTCAACACGGTGGTGGGTTTTTTTTAAGTCGGTAAAGCGATAAGACCGACCACGCATTTCGCCAACCATGGGATAGTTTCTCCTTACTAGAGCCCGGCAGCTAGCAACCTTTTAACTAGTAGCATGTTTGCTAGCGTCGCCAAGAAGGCCCAAGAAACGTTGGCTTTTTTAAACACACACACAGCGACACGGGACGTGACACACGCGTTTGTCGGAGAAGTGACGTGATACTCACCGAGAAGCAGTAATTTCAGCTCTCTCCTGGAGTCGCGCTTGTCTCGGCGCAGTTGTTTGTCAATTTCTGCATTGATTCGTTTCGACTCCTTCGCCTCCTCGCTCAGGCAGCAAGCCATCATGGACTCCAGAGTCATCCCCTCTGGTTTGGGCAGCCCGGTCGAGACGGGACGAGACGCGCGTTTTTTTTTTTTTTTTCAGCTCAACCCGAATCCCCCCCCCGGTCACCTCGCTTCGTTCTCGGGCGAGGAGGGTGGCGTGTCGGCCTGGACGGATAGATGGACGGACGGACGGACGGACGGGACTGGGGGAGGGGTCGACTAGCTACGGGCCTCGCTGTCAAGTTGTTCCCCCCAGCCGAGAAACAACTGCGACTTCACCCGGGTGTTCTCGGCAAATCACGGGAGACTCGGACAGGGGAGGGAGTGGAGAGACGGCGGGGCCTCCCCGAGATGCTCTGCCTCAACACGGCTAACGTTAAAATGACTGCAACTGCCGTGGATAAGCCCCTCGATGCCCGTTTAAATCATTAACGCCCCCTCCTCTGACACCCGGCGGTCCTAAAGTATATCGTCTCGTCTGTCGCCGGTCCGAAGCAATCTTTGCGATCCGCCGAAGAGAAAGTGATTCAAAACCGCAGCGTCGCTACATCCGAGCCCGTGGCGATCGATTTTCTGCAGCGGCGTCGGCCAGCTAGTCGGCGCTAGTGCGACGTTACGAACCCCCCCTTTAGCGGCGAAGCCAACATCGGAGCGGCGACCCGTTATCGCGCGTTTATCTCACGCCGCGGAGCGACGACGCGTCCGTTTTTTCTAAGCGACCGCATTAGCTGACGGCGGCTAAAACACGCGCGCGCACGTAAAACGGCTACTCGCGCGCGCGCACGCACTCACGCACGCCTCGGCTGAATGTGGGGTTCGATCCGAACGGCGAATTCCTCGAAGGGATTCTGGTCCGCCTGGCTAGGGACAGCACCCTATTACGTCCTGACTCATTTTGACTGGTAAAATGTGAGGCTACTTCCACAGCCTTAAAGGGGGGGGGAGACGCGTGCCGGCGTTTTTTTTTTTTTTTTGCCCAGATGTTACTCGCTGCAAACAGCTGGCCCTCGGGTGGCTCGTCGCTGGAACAAGGTCGGGGCGCACACCGGTCTGATGCCAAAAGCAAGGAGGAGTGTGTGTGTGTGTGTGGCGTTGAGTGACAGGGGGGGTTGCGTGAAACGGGTTTTTGACAGGCCAATTGAATGGGCGAGGCGGACTGTGAGCTTAGGTCGTTCAGAAGATGCTCAAAAAATCTACCCGGCGTGTATGAAGAGGGACAGTTTTTCACTGTTTTCGTGGTGTTTCATGGAGACAACATGCACGTCAATAAGGAGTCAATCTTATTCTATAACCTGCAGTATAAATCAAGCACTATCACACATATAAGCGACCATGTGCCGTAGTGGCAGTGACACCTGGTGGCGTTAGAGCTGCATTGCATGTGATGCGTCTTCAAGGTCCATCTTGGTTTCTAGGAATGTAGCTTCTTTTCTTTCTTTTTTTAGATTTTCCAACAACCGTGTAACAAATGTTTACAGCATGCACTGGTGACAAACCATCAGATTGGAAGATGAGATTAAACTATATATAATAATCCTTGTTAAAAACAAATGTGGAATCTTTATGCAATGACGCAGTACATAGAAATGTATGACATTAAATAAGAGGCTACCATGGAGTAATGGTGAATATCAACATGCTATCGCCTTGATAGTAGCCCCTTTGCGCTGTGATGCTTAATACACACTTGCTTGATGGATTAAAGAAAATAAAACAGGGCAGATACAATTTAGTTTGTTTTTACCGTTTTCTGACTCAATCAAAAATATTTTCCCCCCAAAATGTATTATGATGGCATTTAGCTTCTTTTCAGTCAGTCTTTACTTTACTTGCTCTATCTCTGGTTCATTTAGGTTCCACAATGAGATGCTATGCAAACGTTAACGACCACAGCACTGTGTGGCTAAAAAAAAAAAAATCTAGTACACGCTGAGATGTTTATTAGGACTTTAATAACATTCATCTTTGTGTCTAGGAAACTTCTTCAATTATTCTGCTCCTCAAAATAGTCACAGAAGAGGTTTCGGGCCTCATCAGCATGCCGTTGGTCACTGCAGGTGGAGGGAAGTGGCCTGTGTCTGGGCTGTGGGCTCTCCGCCTCGGCCACCTCCGCCTGCCACTTTGCCTCGAAGGCGTCGCCGTGGGATTCGCACACGTTGTGCAGAATGCAGCATGCCAGAACCATGGTGGGCACCACGTCCAGTCCGCAGTCGTTCCTCTTGCTCAGACACTGCCAGCGTGCCCTCAACCTCAGAAGCGCCTCCTCGGAGGCGCGCAGCGCTCGGCTGAGCCGTCGATTAAAGAGCCGCTGTGGCTCGGTCAGCGCTGCGTGGCTGCCTCTCCTATCCTTTTCCTCGGGATAGGCCTTCATCAGCCAACTCTGGAGAGGGTAGCAGGCCTCCCCCAGCAGAACATACCTGGACGCACCAGATGGCTTTTAGTCAGTTACAGCACAAGCCGAAAGACTGCAGCGTGCAGTACAGTTTGGGTAGTTAAGATGGACGTTTTGGGGGGGATATTCCTTGATTTCTATCGATTAAATCATAACCAAACCCTTTCAGCTGGAGTTCATTTCTATATGGAGCAAGGACGTTTGTGGATCCTATCAACCTTGAAATATTTAAGATATTATATCCTGCCAGTTGCAGATCCTAGAAATCCGAAAATAAGGGTGTAGCTAAACTGAGAATACATAATGCAACCTTTCAATATAAAACTACAAATAATGAATAACAGCAAATTGTGTGTATACTTGTCAGATGGTTTGCATATGTCTATCCTTCCGACTCCATCATAAAATACGCTTTTCAATAATGTTGAGCGTTCTTTTACAATTGTGGAAGTTTCATAGATGGTGTTTTTCTAAGCCGAACACAGATGCAGTTTCCAGGTGGACAAATGGTGGAAAATTAGGACAAATACAGCTATTGAACTTATTTCCTCAAGATGGAAATTGGTGTCTTTAAAAGGCCCAGAAAACACAGCCTTGCTGTTGATGTTGAACTACCTAAGCGGTTTTCCCATGAAGGTAGTTTGCGAGTCAGGTGACAGCCCACCATCCGCAGCTGTGGCCCACAGCGAGGAGTTCTGGAAGATGTCAGCCGGGTCCGTACCACCAGGGAAACTGGCGCACACGTCCCAGAATATCCCCCGGCCGCTGACAGCCACCTCAAACACCAGAGAGACAGAAAGAGCCAAGGACTCCCAATCCGACAGCTAGTAAACATGTATCGTCAGCGGCGCATGCGGGTGTCCTTTCGTACCTGAGAAAGCACAGAGAGCCAGCCAGCAGGGTTGGCGTAGTCCGATGCGTTGTTCGATGGCGTGATGATGGCGGTGTGGAGTGTTGCTACGGCGGCGACGCAGTGAGGGAAGCCCCATTTGGACAGGAAGAGCTGGGCTGAATCATCCAGCTCCTGCTCACCGGGGGGCCGCAGGTAAGTGGCGGTGAGGAGCGCAACAATCGCGTGACACATGTCCCTCACACACCTGCACACGGTGGACTTCCCCACGCCAAACAGCCCGCTGATGGTGCGGTATTCGATGTTCGACGCCAGGCGCCACAGAGCCACTGCTACCCGTTTCTCAACCGGCAGAGCCAGGCGGAAGCTGGTGTCCTGGCGGGTCAGGCGGGGCCTCAGCTCGTCGCAGAGGTGGAAGAACGTCTCCCTGCTCATACGGAACCTATCCAGCCAATCAGACGGCTGGAATTCCGTCATCACCACCCGCTCCCACCAATCAGTGCTTGCAGTGGTGGACCAGGGGCGTGTGCGGATGCGAACGTTGGAGCGGATACCTCCTGCCATCATCATCTGAGGAAGAGTAATCAAGAGAAATAAAGATTTTCTTTAAAATGAATTTAAATATTTTCATTTTATGCCAAACGTCATAGAAAATGAAATAGAAAATGTATTATAAGCTGTATTGCGACTATCATTCATGTATTTTAAAACTGTGCTGTAGATGTGTGGAGGAAACTTTGTAATTTCTTAAAGGTGCCAAAATGTGTTGGTTTTTATTTGAACAGCAAGAAACAGAAGGACACACTATGTGATACGTGGGTATTATACTTAATGCTAAATTGTATATCCTTGGATATAAATACACTGACTAATTTGTTTGCTAAAATAAAAACTCAAACAGTATCTCTATTGTTGCAAACACTACAAACAGGAAAATATCAGAATATGTGGCTCTATCTTTGCAGACTACCGCCGGCCTTGTATTTGTTGTTTGTATAACTGCTATGACTATTCTGGTGTTTGACGCTTACGAATGAACCATTGATAAACAAATCTGTCTGATGTACAGAAAATATCTTTACAACACTTTAAAATGTACCACTTATTTCTGGCATTTTACAGACAATTAATAAATTACCCAGAAAATAAATGGCATACAAATCTATGAATAATTATTATCTGTAGTATGATAATAACTATTTTATTTAGAGGGAGAGTTCTCTAATTCAAAAATAGTGTAATGTTCCAATAAATGTATTCATACGTATTGTAATAAATAGTGTAATAAATGTATTAATAAGTATACATGGTCTACAGCGGTATGTATGTGCTTGGCCGTGGTGACGTTGGGTTACGTATACACGTCACAGATGGGCGGCAACAGGGCCGACTGACCATGAGCATCCTCCTCTGTCGCTGGAAGAAGTACTGCCGATGTCTGATGCGTCTTTGGATCTCATTCCGCCTCTGAATGTCTGCGTGGTTTAAGTCCCTCCTGCGCTTCAGCAGCATGTAAGTCATCAGGAACACGAAGGGCCGCAGCCGCTCCTCCTCTTCCTCCTCCTCCATTTTGACAAGTTCAACCAGGGAGGCAGCGCCGGGGGCACATCTCGACACGACGCGCCCTGCCCGACGTGCAATCGCGCGGCCACGGAGGTTTCGCTGCCGTCGCTCGGGCTGCGAGCCGGGGCGCTTCCGCTCTCTTCCGGCCCGCGTCGGGCTGTGAACGCGGGCAGCGCGGTGCTGCCACCTGGCGGCGGAAGTGCAGCAGTGCTGCTGGTTTGTCACGTGAACTCACGTGTTCATTCCCGGATACGCATGTCAACACGCGTCTGACTTCCTCATTGGTCAGTTTTCAGCATCATGTCAGCAGTCTGTGTAATAGTGCAGTTTAATAATACAGGCATGGGATTTTTTTCCTCTTCAATAATGATTTCTCGATGTTTCTACTGACAGAGTGATTCACACTAAAAAACTGTCTTTTATCATTTTCTTTTCACTTTTAGTTAGGTCTTGCTTCACATGCTCGAATCCTGTTGAAATAACATTTAGCCTAGAAATCTTGTAAAATCAATGGTCTCTGAAATAGTAAAATATATATTTGTTACTCAGCAGCTATAGTTCTACTGTATTTTAGCTTGCCCAAACCTTTCATTCCTTTACTATTGCTTTGGAAGACTGTCCCTGGTTTTACAACCTTTTTTTTTGGTCTGCCTCCTCCTCCTCCTCCACTTTATCCTTAAACTTCATTCTATGCTCCAATTTGTTGTTGATAAATCTGTGATGTGAGCACTTGCCCTGCATTCTTTTTAATGGCAGACTGTAGATAAGTAGTTCAAATAAAAAAAGTAAATCAGTGAACATTGTCTGTTTATTGCCTACCCATAAAATTCTGCTACAATGCAAGGATATGAGATTATTAGCCGCCCGTCAAACTGGTTCTCTAATAAATTGTTAACAACAACAAAAAAAAGAATCACTTAAATATTAACACAATAGCATCACAATCAACAGCCTCCAAGCAGACACCAAGCGCCTAATCCACAACCCTCTCAACAAAAGAAATATAGGACTTATTACAAGGTTTTTGTTATGGATGCATCAAGCGTAATCCGACGATTATATGTGAAAGGCTGAACAATAATTGATCATTGCTGATCTCAAGAAAAACCTTTAGTAAGGAACTCCTCGTCCTTTCCACATCGCGGTATCTGTTAGTTAATTTTAACAACAACAAACAACATGCATTCTAAAAATGATGTGCTCCAAAGAAAGAAGAAAAAAAAGGATTAGAGGATATAGTGTGTAGAGAGAATTGGTAACGTCTGTGTGTGTAGGTTATAGAACGCATTATATATACTTCAGAGTGTTGTACAGTATGTGGAAATTGACAAGAAACCTAGGACACAACCTTCACTCGAGTGATGAAAAGTTCTGCCGCTGCATTCTCAAACTCCTTTGCGTCCATGTTACCACCCGGGCCCCGTGCCTGTGCTCCAGCCATGGCCTGCCCTAACCTGTACGGAGAGATCTTTGCACTGGCCTCCAGGTAGCATAAAGCCTTCACGTTACCCTCCAGACAGGAATTCACTTTCATATTTGAATTATCACAGACATTTGCCTCGCAGCCTTGGGAAGTCTCCAGGGCTTCCTTTAAGGTCCCCAGCACAGACAGGCACAGCGCCCGCGACGCGGGGCCCTCGTCCGGGCAGCACACCTCAGCGTAAAGCCTCTGAGCCTGACGGATATAGTCCGAGAAAACCGCACACGTGAGCACACCGTGACGGAAGATATCGTAGGGGACGGCCTCATGGTCCTGGCAATGGAGGCGCTGGAGGAGTGGGGCGGATGTGGAGGCAGGGACCCCCCCCTCACTGCATAGGCACTGCAGGGTCTGTGTGTAGAGGCCTCCCTTCACTCCTCCTCCACCTCCACCTCCCTCAGTTGGGCTATCAGTGCAGGAGACATCAGGTCCCTGAGGGACCTCACCCGAACGCCTGAGGGGCCCAGTGAGATTCAAAAGGTCATAAGCCACACGGACATTGTTGCTGAAGGCAGATCTGGGAACACAATGAGAAAGGGGAGTAGTTAAAAGGAGGGGGGAAGTAAATTCCATGAATTTTTATCACTGTGGCCTACATGGGGCGGCCTTTTGTGAAAGTATGGTAGTTATCCTAAAACACACATGGCTATCATAACCACATATTCACTATATTTTTCAGCAACAACCTTATGAGTCATGGGGAGAGACACCAAACCGGTATGACTCCCCACGGTCAAACCGGTGTGCTTTAAGGCCGCTCGTGCACAGACCTCTGGGAATGGTGCGCCAGCCTCAGGTGCCACAGCGCCCGGTTGAGATGCTGCTGCTCCTGCGCGCCTGCGCTCAGCGGGCCGTCGCTGAAATGATCCACATCGCTGTATCCAGCTGTGCCGGTCTCCGACACAGAGGCCAGGTTGCAGAAGTGGTCGGCTAAGAACCCGATGGGGTCGTCCGATCTGGCCTCCACCATCTTCAGGATGGCGCCGCGGAGCAGCTCTCCGACTCCTGCTCGTGACAGAAACTCCCTGTCGCTGTCCGATTTGGTCGCATTGCCCTCGGGCATCCCCGGTGGAGTCGCCCCGGACCGGCGCTTCTCCTTGTCCGCCATAGCCAATGACGTCACGTGTCGTAGCAACCGCAGCGGAAGTGATTCGGTACCGGTCGGGTGACAGGAAACGCCTAGACGCTTTATTAATTCAGCCGTATGGACGGAGAAGGCGGTAAAAGCACCCGATGATTAAAAAAAGCTGAAAAGCCCGAAGGAGAAGTGGTCTCTCGACAAAATCCGTCCGCGCTACCGTGCTGGTTGCTAGGGACGCTCTGTGACGTCAGCGGGTCCGTAGGGCTCCTGGTACCTCTGGCTGGGCCCTCCATCCCTAACGTCTTGTATCATGTACTTGTTTTTACAAGTTTTACATGTTCACTTTTCATGCAGATTTTAACTTGATAGGTGGTTTAATGGGAGTCAATTAAAGAAAGAGAAAAGTCCATCCTATATGTTAAGTTTAAACTATTTTACAGTTGATTGTATATAAATAAATACCGATCACTGTTAAACATAAAAGTCAAAATCTATTTTTGTGTAAATTTGCCTCAAACCAAAATGAAGGGAGTGCTAAACAATAACACAAAATCATCAAACAAAGCATTTAACACGTTATTTTTTATTTTTTATAGCTGGCATCACATGTGCTTAATAAATATTGACCCATGTCTATGAACTATACTGTTAAACTACATTTTACAAATACATCACACAAAGAAAACTAGTTGAATAAATCGTTATTCAAGAAAATGAAAAAGTTTTCAAATATTCAATACATTACTGATTCTGAGGGCTGGGCCCTTTGGAGATTAGTATAGTTTATGGGATCCATATAACCCTTACATTTATGATATGTAAATGTTGCAGCACCACACCATTCTTTAATACGCTAATTCCTAGTCATTTACAGGTTTAATTTACTCTGCACAGTTTTTGAACCAGTTGTTGCTTTTTGCAACATGAGAAGGTTAGTTATTTTTCTACGAGGCATCAACAACAATTGTGTTAAGATAAAGCTCTTGGGCTGTAGTGATGTTCTTACTGCTACAACGCATGAGTCGCATCGTCGAGATGTGTATGTATGCCATTTGTTAGAGGTATATGGACGCCGTTAGTGAGTGAAGCTTTTTTCAAAGCAGCCACATCGCCATTGACGTAGGTGGTGTGTTGAGGCAGGAAGTTCTTCTGCAGCTTGTGCTCCAGCAGCATGTGGCTCTGAGGAGGAAGGCCCAGGCACGCTCTGAAAAAGACAACCTCTGTTAACTTCTTCCACCGATGAAGACTTTGTATATGAGCCTTAAAAATTGGGTAAAACTAGGGATGTAACGATTCATTTTAACAACAATTCGATTCGAATCACGATTCATGGTTGCCGATTCGATTCATGGACGATCTGGGTTAATTTAGAACGATTCGATTCGATTCAGTGACTTGAAATCGATTCAGTAACTTTACTGGACAGTGCAGGCAAAGTTTCTGAGATCCCTGTTGTTTCTTGTGAGGAAATCAGGTTTAAATTAATTATGGATATTATAAACAAGCAGACAACAATTAATGGCAAATGTATTAACCTTTTATTTGAATCAAGTACCATTTTCAATGTAAACATTACACAATAATTACACAATGTTTGGATTAATTCACAGAACTCCGGATTTTCAACCACATTGTGGGGTCGCATGTTTTTACAGCTAAACTTGGCAATTGTTACTGTGATGTTGAGTTTGGTGCTGGCGAGGCCTGAGGTGTCTGCAGAGCTGGAGTTACCTTCTGCTGCAGCGGTAACGCTGCTAGAGGTGCCTGACTGTCGGCGTTGTTTAATCCCACGGCGCCTTAGTAGATGGCCGGAAAGATTCGTCGTGTTTCCGTGGTTGTTTTTTGTCTTCTACAAACAGCGACCGACTTATTTAGAACACCTCCGTGTTTGCAAAAGCCAAAATGTTTCCACGCGCTGGATCGATAAGTTGGTTTGTAAATGTCTCGCTCGCAGTCGTCTCCTCCACGCTGTGTTTTGTTGTTGTTCAGAGTTTCGCGCGGCTGCCGCTGCGTACTGATGACGTCAAAGACAGGCAGACTGAATCGAGTAACGTTTAACATGTCTAGTGCTAAAAAAAAACAAAAAAAAAACACGCATCCATACCGTTTTTGTACTTAAATCCAATGTGCATTTTCCAAGTATCGATACAATCGATTATGTACCATTTCAATCGATTTGTAATCAATATATGTCGTCCGGAATGCCTTTATGCGGAGCACAGATCGATTCAGTTGGATCGCAGGAATATAAATCGATTAATCCATTCAGTGAATGAATCGTTACACCCCTAGGTAAAACGCATGGCGATCTACGGTAAAAACACAAAAGCATTGTCCGTACCTCATGATGTTTTCTATGGCGGCCCTCTGGCGAAAGAAGGCGTTGATGACCGGTGTCCCACTTGGGACCAGGGGGGCCTTGCAGAGGAAAGAAAGCAGTGCCAAGACACTGTGGAAGGACTGGAAGTCCTCTTCTCCCTGGGGTCGGACAGTAATGCGCTGACAAAGCTCTGTCAGGATCACCAGGTCCAGCATGATTGGAGTGGCTAGCAGAGAGTCCTGTTGCAAAGATACAGAGATGAGAATGGTGTTGTAGAGGCGGAAAGGGATGGCAAACCCACAATCATGAATGCATGGAAAACATAATGCAGTTCCCTGTGATGCAGGAATGATGTGTATACAATGCCAGAGTCTTTTTTTAAATACCACTAGGACTAGGCAAATCAAAACTTTTCAAATTTTACACATTATAAAAGGGCTTTTATGCAAACCATAGCAATGCAGAAAACCAGAAAAGTGTGTTTTAAGTGTTTGGTTGTATGCATGAGCTAACTACTTTAGTACTCTAGTCAACGACACCAATGTGAAGCACTTTTGTCTGATAGGAGAACATATTAAAATAAATTTGACAGCATAAGTTCCCTTAAGACCACTGTAGCAGTTGTTTTGTACTATTGGAGAACTTTTCAAATTATTTTGGATAGAGTGAACAATTTTGTAGATAAATTGGAACATCCAAGGGAAGGCTGCGGTCAGCCAGATAACCAGAGTGGATATTATTTCATGCGTATGAATGGTGATGGACCAAAGCAGCTTTACCAAATCTTTAACAAGCAAATGCAGCCTTTAGTCTGAACATAGTTCCAATATGCTCGTTCAGCTGCATGCTTTCCAGAAATAGATTTGGTGACCACTGACCTCACAGGTGTTGTGCATTGCGATAGTGTTGGTCCCTCCCATCATAATTTCAGAGGTGTATTCATCCATGGCACGCTTGCTGTCTCCAACACGGGGGACATACTTAATCACCACCTGAAGTAACACGGAGAGGGTTTAAAACATCTGATGAATTGTATTCAGTAAAAATCCATATGGAGCTCATCCTCCTCCTGTGTGGGAGTCACTCACACAGTGGTCAGGTTTCTCTCCAGGCTGGTACAATATGGAGTTGGAGTGGACCATGTCATCCACCACGTTGCTCTTGGAGATCTCTTTTGAGCGAAACTGCTGTGGAGCAGACAGGTTCTTCCCATCGTTGTTGCCAAGGTGATTGTAGCTGACAATGGAGGTTGGCTGTTTGGGGGCGGGAGGGGGAGAACTTAAAATACTTAAGAACATTAAAATATAAGTTTGAAGTTGTCATCTTCTTCTCTATCTACCACCTATCCATGCAACCCTTTTCTCACCTTGATACCCGAGCTGACCAGGAAGTCCACCAGCACAGATTTAACCTTGGTCTGACCGGATTTGAAGTCATCTCCTCCAATGAACACCCCGTTCTGCACGGCCAGCTCGATGGCACCAGGGACAAAAGTGTTCTGCGGAGAGCCGTTGATGTAGGCACAACCCTCCAGTATGCTGGCCACTGCAAACAGAGTGGAGGGAGAGACTTCTGCTCCGGCCTAATGCAGTAAAACAAAAGAAAGGGAGAAAGAAAGAGAGGGAGATTATGCACGGTACCGAGTGCGTCCTCACATTTCCAGAGAACTTCTTCTCATTATCTTCATAACACAACTGTCAAATGTCATGCCTATCTAACATTGAGCTGTTTGCTGAGGACTAGAAGTCTATTATGCCTGCTGACAGTTGTCCATAGATCCATAGATGCAGACAAAATAGAAACAAACACAGGAGGGGAGAATCATACATTTCTTCACCTGATCCCCAATACAAAAATGAAAAGCTGACTTAATATAGAATTTCTATAATTCCAGAGTGCTTGGAGAGTTAATCTTCTTATCCTAAACGGTATTAATCGCTAAATGGATAGAGGATTACTGTTTGGTCCTCAGCAGTAGGAGGAAATTAAAGTTGAATACATGAATACTGGCCACCATCACAGTTTAGGATGGTTTTCTAGGACAATTAAAAGAGAATTATCATACTGGGTCTTTGCTCAAACCAACTTTTGATATGTGTCTCTTTTTTTTTTAAACTTTGTGAGCCTTAATGCTTGCACCTGCTCACAAAGTTTTGTAACTAAACTCTCACCTGGATTGCAGCAAGCAAGTTCTTTGCCTTGTCATTGACCCCGGGTATGACATCACAGAAGCGCTCAGTGTTGGCGGTCCACAGAACTATGACTTTGTCCACACCACTTGATTGACGGAAGTCCCTTATGTCAGCTCTGACCTGCTCCACCTGGAAGACCATTTATTCCTTTAATTCAGATTTAAATTATACATGAAGCGACATGAAACGGAATCATATGGAGCAGAGACTCCAGCATTAAACAAAGAATGACCTGTTCAGCTATGCTTCCAGTTAGGACGTTGTCTGCCCGACTCTCTTGATTTGCGGCGATGAAATCTGGGATATAGATGGACGGTCTGGGTTTCATTTGGCTCAAGTGTGGCCGCAGCTGCTCTTGTAACGACCAGTCAAGCACCTGAGCTCTCTCCATCGCTCTGCCAAGATCCATTGAAGAGATATCCCAGCCTAAAAACCCAAACACACGTATCAGTACATGGCAGAGGCTGACCTCTGCAAGACAACACGTCCATCTTATAACAGACGGTAAACAGCTTCCTTTGTACACCTCTTCACTTATGAAGCATCAGACTGGATTGCATAAGAGGACACCATACTTGAGCCCATCTGACCATCCTGAAGCTCATGCAGAGGCTCTTCATTAAGCCGCCCTCGGGACAGATTTTGCTGCGGTTTACGCTGCTGTTAACCGTTGACACACTCAGCAAAGTGTCTGCAATTGTTCGTACCGTCAAAGACTATATCATTAGGGTGCACCATGGGTAGGAGGTCACAAATTGGCACGTTGACCTCGCCCTCCACCCCTGTTCCCAGACAAACTGTAGACGCCTGGAGGAGTGAGCCATAGTAGTTGGCTTTCTGTAGAATGTGGGACAAAAAGAAGAGAAAAACACGGACGTCATTCCCTCTACAGGGTATAAGGTTTTTATACGTGTATTAAATTCTTTGAACCAGAGAAAATTGCCTGCAATGGAAATCACGTGAACCAGCTCATAGCGGCAACAAAGTCTGCCCAAACAAGGGGAAATCCTCTGGAGCAGAGATAGTTAAGCCCTTAACACCCTACCGAATAGGTCAGCATAACCAGCTTCTAATGAGTTTCTGCCACTGTATCGGGGGAAATAAAGTATGCTAAAATTATAAACTAGGACAATAAGGTCTTCTATTTGCACCCAAGTGGCAGCTTAAGGGTATTGTAGTCTGAGAGATCATTCAGTATCTAAAACTATTTGGCCATTTTTGTAAAGAATAATCACTGCAGTGTTTGCATGTTTTGGTTGTAAATCTACTTTACACAAGGGAAGGCCAGTATCTAAGCAGGCAGCAAAATCAGTTTACAGTAACATGTTTGAAACGTGTATAAAATCAAGTTTGATTTGATACTTTCAAAGTAAAGTTATACAAGTGATTCTTTTAACGTAAAATACAGAACATTTCAAGTGTATTCCAGTTGTTTTCCTGCACTATCGCAACATTTGTGTAGCAGCGGAAAATGACCTCCGTCTTTTCCAATGACCATGTTTGACATGCAAGAAAGTGTAGATGTCTTCTGGCGTGTTTGTGTCACCCACTCACCTTCACCCCAGTGTTGGTTCTCCAGGTGAGACCCAGCTTGTTGGCCAGTACAGCTGCAGTCACTGTGGTCCCGTTGTTACCGCCCCAGCCCACCAGCATCACACCTAGCCGGGGCACACGCCGCTCCGTGCGAAATGTCATCTCGGTGGTGCGGGGGGTCACCTGTTTCCCAACGAGGAGCAAAATTAGAGGGACACGCGCACACACACAGATGCAAACTGTACACAGATAAAAATATAAAAAATGTCCACGTACTGTTACTTTGTTCCCATCTCTCTGAACTGATGTGGTCTGGTAGGAGTACTGCGACACAATGTGTGTATCTGTGTACTTCACATTAGAGCTGTTGATATGAACGTTGGCAGACATGGCTGCAGAGTCTGCAAAGAGAGAAACAAAGAGAATTTTTCCACAGCAAACCAGAGGCATACTTACTTACTCACTGACTCTGAGGTGTGTTTGTGAATCATCAGGGAGGGCTTAGAGTGTCCAACGGTTAAATCACAAGCTTGTGGGCTCTACTGCAGACATTCAGTGCTATTCATGCCCACTTGTATCAGAAGGGTCAAAAAACAGGCTTGCTTGTAAAGGACAAAATACCAGATGAACACCATGGGGATTTTGGCATACCATTTTTTAAGAACCATTTCCCAAACAAAACAAAAAATGACGTTAGGAGGTCAAGACTGTATACACACATATTACCTAGTAATATTACACATATGTGTTATTATTTATTCATGAACCATTTATTGTATTTTTTTTGTTCCTTATTTATTAATTGATTACTTGACAATTAATTCCTATCCACAGAAAAAAAAAAGGCCCACCCTCAAAGTTTGTAGATAATATGTTTTACATGCATTAATGGAACGTGCTGACAGCGAAGTACCAACCCATTTATAGTGGCATCCTTCAAAGCCCTTGTGCCCTTTCACACTCCACCATTGATCAGTTGACGTCAGTTAGGACCCTTACTGTTTAGGGCTAAAGATTATTGGGTGGATATCGGGATACGCCACAACTGCTACGACGTCAGTTTCTGGAACGCGCTGGGACAGACCCATCCTGCTCGGCCTGTTATTGGCTGCGTGTCTGAACCTCACCAATCTAACCTACGCAGTTAGTAAGAACCAGCCAATCAGGAAGAATTTAGGGCGGGACATCCTTTCGAAAAGCTCGTTTCCTGAGGTAAAGCTCTAGCTCTGAAGCATGAATTAACTATGAAAACGAGTCTTTCCCGAGTCTCTATCAAACAAAAACTAGTCATATTTCTCCGGCGATCCCCGTCCGGCCATCTTTGAGACATTTGTGTAATTTTAAAACACATAATATGTCAATTAATGTATGAACGAAAACAAACCCGGAAACACTCACCACTTGGAGAGTAAAGCTGTCTTGAATCTGGTTTCGTTCAAAAAAGAACAGTTGTTCGGTTGTTTTGTTGACAGTTTTGAACAGGTGGCTGTTTTCTAAAGTATGCTGGTTGGTACCTAACTCCGTCTGGTCCTACTGAGGATAGATGCGTATTCTCTTCGTTGAGACGTATTCAATCCATGAACCAATCAGACTGCTCCGTCCCTCCCCTGTGACGCGGGGGCTTTAAACGAGCTTGAACACTGCGTAGGCAGGCTGTGATTGGCCGGCTTCCCTGGCGGTTTCTTCAGGGCGGGGCATTGCCCTCACTGTTTTTTGTGTCTTAACATTTCGGAAGAGCCCGAAGATCTGAGATGTCACACAAGACAGTAATGCCTCATCATACGACCACTTAGATTATTGTACTTTTGTTTGTACCAAGTCAGAGAAACCGGTGGTTATGCATTCAGTTAATATCACTCTTTGATCACTTCTCAAATATATCTACATTTTTTAATGAATTTAATGGAACACGTGGCTAAAACTGAGCAAAGTAATTTCTTTGTCTAGCATGAACATGTTCATTCAGCTCATGCTTACCAGAAATAGCTTCTAGCAATGAATTCAACGTCCGTGGTGGTACCAATGTAATTATGTACACATAACACAGTCACAATATGGAAGTAAATATACTCTTAAATTATAGTGAGACAGTGCTGCTATTGAATGCCATTGTTCAGACTTGATACAGAAGCTTAATTACTGCAGGGACTTATGTATAGCTGGGTTGTTTCAGTTGTTATTCACTGTGTTTAGTACATGGTTTCAGATAAGTATGCCTGATACACTGTAAAATGTCTCTGTTCCCCTTTAAGATCTGACTTTTTTTTAAACGTTCAATGCAAGTAGTACCTGGTGCTCATAGGTGGAATCTTTTAAACCAGGTGGACATTCTAAATGTCAACTATTTCAAGGTTTACTTTAGCCCCTGACTTGACTCAAAATCACCTTGGTTAACCTCATGGGCGAGTCTACAGAAGCTCAGGTCAGACAGGGCAGTTGTTTGCTGCATCCAATGTTTTAACTCAGTAGACTTTTGAGTTTGTCAACAGCAAATGTTACTTTATCCCACAATGCTAACAATTATAAAGACAACCCAAATCATGCAAACGGTTTGGCAGACTGAATGTTGAATTTGGGGTTGAGTGACTGATTTAAGTTGACTAAACTCCTGCCAGACATAAAATATTATAAGACAAGTTGGCTGTTTTTAGGACAATCTCAGGTTTACAGTTTGGGGTATTAACATGTATGTCATTTACAAATCATCCAACGTTTTAATCACGGTTACCCACAAAATAATAAAATAAATATAAAAAGTTACTAGATTTTACGTGATACCCATCCCCCATCTGATTGGACGACGTGTGTTTAGGTAGTTACGTACAAACCTTCCGGACCGGAAGATGTCGCTCAGGCCAGTCCTAAAAAACTTCCGCCTTAACTTGTAAAGAAAACATAGCAGCTAAAAGGCAATCGACGGAGTAACCAACCGATTTAAGAAGTCAGACCACAGGTAGATAAAAGAACACACTTGACACACATATACCCGCGCACACACCAAATTTAAGCAGTTTGATGACGCCTTTTAGCTCATCTGCAAATAAAAATCTCCAATCCACAGTAGCTAGCATCCGAGCTACACTGGTAACAGCTAGCTGTTCGCTACCTTCGATTTGGTCGGCCACAGGCCTCAATTGAGTCTCTTTACGGTTAGATCGGGGTCAATTTGACAACATACAGAGCTCACTATCAGTCTGGCAACCGATGATGACCATCCGTTGCCTTCATTAAAACTCGAAACGTTAGTTACCGTCATATCGGCTCCGTTGCTAGCTCTGTCTTACGTTAGCCGTCCAACTGTTACCTGTGGCCATCTGTATCCAGCTCGCTAACGTTCGTCACTTTAGCCTGCTAGTTAGCCCAGCTACCGGGTCGGACACTGGCTGACCAGCAGTAATCTAACTGTACGTCTTAAAGGACCGATCATGAATGACACAGGTAGTAAAGCTAGCCCAATACCTACATGCTTACAATTTGGTTTACGATAGTTAACAACTCAAAGCTTGCCCTTCCAACCGTTTCTCTCTCCCCTTTCATTCACTTTAAATAAAATAAATAATAAAAAGCAGATACGAATTGGGACTGTGTTGGAATAACTGATCGTCTCCGTAATCCTTACTTTATTTAGTCTTAATAGCTACACCTTTAGTTGCTGTTCGGTCTCATTAGCCTGTCTGTCATCATCAGGGCAACGCGTAACTGTCCTGTGTCAAACGATCACCCGCACACCTTTTCCTGGTTCTCAGTAAGATGCTCAGAGGTTCACTAGGTTACAAATACAGTTTTGTTAGTATCAGTTACACCTGATGTGCTGGCTGATAAATAACAAGAAATGACAGTAGAAAAATGCTTCACAGTGTATGTTTACGGTAAAACAGATGAATAAAAACGTCATTGTTTGTTTGTTCATAAAAGGTAGTTATGTTTCTAACTATATAGTAACCTGCTCTGTACAGACCGACCCAACATCATTTTTTTTGCAATGCCTAGACTCACAGTCGATGTAGTATTTGTATTGTCACGCAACATGAAGCCTGGGGTTGGTATGCTACTATTCAACAACCATCTGACTGCATGAATGTCGGTGAAACGCTGAATTTTCTGATGTCACGGCTTAAGGAGCTGTATTTCATGTCCGTCGGTCACATCGCAGCCAGTACCCCTTCCGTTTCATCAAGTAAGGATCAGCGGCAATACTGATACGGTTGATTTAAATTAGTGCATTCTCATAAAAACACAAATATACGAGACACTTGTTAGAATATACTTTACCACTGAAATTGTCAATGTCCAATCAGAAACCTCCTGTTTTCTTTCAATTTCTTCTCTCCAGACTTTTTTTTTTTTTTCAATCTGGAGCTTGTGGGGCTGGAGTGTGTGTGAGTGGGTGAGTGAGTGCATGTGTGAGAGTGTGTGAGCTGCCTTTTCCTCCTTACCTTTTCACCAAGAGCTGCTCCTCCCTGGAGGATGACAATGGAGGAGATGAAGAATGAAGCGGAGACAAACTCCATGGTATCCATGACGCTGTATGCCGTGATGTACCCAGTTTTCAACGAGGTAAAACATCCAATGTGGTCAGCAGTCACCTTTTAATAAATTATATTAATTGAATTAAAAAATGACTGAATTTTGTTTTAGTTTCATTAACTTATTATAAGTATGATAACCAAGTGCCCCTAGATTATAAATTCTGACGCAACTACAACCTATCCAGAGTTTGCTGTGAAAATGTCGGTAATCTCCACTTTTTTTCCATCAGCTTGAAAGGATCAACCTATCGGCAGCTCAGACACTCAGAGCAGCCTTCATAAAGGTACAACTATGCATGGCCTGACATAAAATCCCAATAAATTCTATGACACTGCACAACTTTCTGTCTCAGCATATTTGGTGTAAATGTAGACTGTATCCCAGGTCCCCCCCTTTTTTTATTGAATTCAAATTTTATCTGATGCTCTTACTAATATTTAGTTCCCAGAGGACACTGACAGGAATGCATTTGGTCTGAAACTAGCAATTATTATATATAATAAATATATATATATATATATATATATATATATATATATATTATACAAAATATAATATTAATGCCCAAACTGAAATCAGGTTTGAACCCCACACAAAAAACGCTTCAGCCCAGCACCTTTATTTAACTTTGACTTCCTGCACTTGGTTTCTTGTGCAATGAGGGGTTATGAGCAATATCTGAAATAGAACCAGTTTTGCTTTCAAACCGTTTCTCTGGGTAAAGGGGCTTAAATAATGCGGGACAACGGCAAGCTTGTTTTTAACCTATAGGATCCTCTGACCTTCAGTGCTTGCTTCCCTTTTTTAAACAATGTTGTCACTGTTGTCATCTTTGCACTTAGCTTGTGAAGTTCAACATTATTGAATGCAATATAATTGATGGGCAGAACTTTTTAAAAGAGTTTTTCTTGTTCTGTGTTCTTCTTCTTCTACTGTTGCTGCTGATTCACCAGCAAATCACTCAGTGGGGGGGGGAAGCTATCTTTAAACAAACTCCATCGTTACTCCATCACATCCTTGTTTGTCTCATGCCTTCCAATGCCACTTCGATACACTGCTCAAGAATAAAACAACATTATCCTTTTTATTCATAGGTTGGTGGGAAAATTTGTGAAGCACTATTATCAGTGATATTTTAATTTTCCAAAGTCCTATAAAATGTCTCGAGCATCCTCTTTTTTTCCCCCTTCTATCCACCCACTGCTAGAGTTGCATTGGAATATTAAAAGCACCGTGGCTGTAGGTCACCTCTCTGCTGATGAGCAGCAGCAGCAGCAGCGTTCAACACCAGCACAGATCACATATGCATGAAGGAGGAGCAGTTTTGTCTTTATCCAAACCAAAGGGGGATATGATCACCTTGCAGCTGTTTTACTATGACTATGTGAGAGTCTTTTGTTCACTTGCCTCATTGAATGGCCTCACTAAGGCTGCCACTGCTTCCTGCGCAGTGTAGCTTAAGGATGAATTATTCAGAAGGAGGGCTTCCGTGCATTCGTCTGAACGGCTCCCAGCGGGCAACTGAGAGTCAAGAGAGTTTCAGCTCCGTTCTTTGCGGCTGGAAGCCACTTGTTGCTTTGGTTGGAGAAGATGTTTCATGTCTTATTTTGGATGAATTGCTTCTGTTCCTCACCCCGCTTGCCCAATTCTCTCTTTTTTTCAGGCAGAGAGGGAGAACCCTGGCCTGACTCAGGACATTATCATGAAGATCCTGGAGAAAAAGAACGTCCAAATCAACTTCACTGAATCCCTACTGCGCATGGCAGCTGATGATGTGGAAGGTGCGTGTAGAAAAGGAAGAAGTGCTGTGGTGGGAATAGTCTCTTGTGGTCCCGAGGTCCAGGTTTACACTTAGTTCTATCCTGACTTTGCCAGCTTGTTGGTTTCTGTATCTGTCCGGTTGTATAACCCATTGGATCTCTGGGACTGGGCATGAACTCCCCCTCCTTTCTTTTTTTGCAGAGTTCATGATTGACCGGCCGGAGCAGGAGTTCCAGGACCTAAATGAGAAGGCCAGAGCTCTGAAACACATTCTCAGCAAAATCCCTGATGAGATCAATGACAGAGTACGCTTCTTACAGACTATTAAGTAAGAGGGAACTCTCGCACACACGCACATCATGGTGTTATTAGCCGTTTTCACCATTTTGAGAAATTTTAACCTCTCGATTGGAGAAATAGTGCCATCACTAGTGGATATACAAATAACACAGTGACGTCTTTATTAAAAAGTTAATATAATGTCACAATCTTTTACACCATTACACCTCTTGGTTGAGTTTGTGTGATGAAATCCTTTTGTCTTTCTGTCTTTTCTACAGAGACATAGCCAGCGCCATTAAAGAGCTCCTGGACACAGTCAACAATGTCATTAAGAAATATCAGTACCAGAATCGCAGAGTGAGTAACTAGGGCTGACAAACCTGTGCACCCTTCTCACTTTCCTCTTGTTTCCTTACGCCGTTTCTGTGTATCTTCTTGTTTGTTCAGGCTCTGGAGCACCAGAAAAAGGAGTTTGTGAAATACTCCAAAAGTTTCAGCGACACCCTCAAAACATACTTCAAAGACGGAAAGTAAGTGTAACCATAACACCTCACCTGTGAGCATTACCAAAGGAGCATCACATGTTTCTAGGCAAGACATGCTGCTAACAAAAAGACCCAGTTTAGTTCAATTTAGTTTTTGAGAATTTATTTAACAGAATGCACAATACACTTGTCAGATGCCGGCGCGCACAATTAGCAAACAAGCAGAAAGAGAGTCGCCCAATCTTCTCGTCTTAAATGTATCCATTAAATAAGCAGATATGCTAACAGTCCAAACTGTTGAACTATTCACAACCGTTTGCTGATACAAACTGTATAGTGTTGTTAAGTAGCCAGCTGGCCCTGAACCGTTGTCGGCTGTCACTCTGGTCACTGTTAACTGACACAGATGTGTAATTGTGTTTTGGTAGAGCCCGTTTGCTCATCGATACTTAACTATATTCAAACAGCAGTAATGAGCTTCTCCAATCTGTTGTCTCGAGTTTTAACTTTGTGTTTTTTCCCAGGGCAATAAATGTCTTCATAAGTGCAAACCGGCTCATCCACCAAACCAACCTCATACTGCAGACTTTCAAAACCGTGGCCTAATCCTCAGAGACCACAGAGGTCCCTCTGTCCTGTGGGGAGCAACTGCTAGGATGGTGGAAGCTTGAAGAGCGCCTGACCCATATATGTAAAATAGAAAGAGTTGATTTTAGGGTTGGGGGTCAATTCCATTGGAGTCGATATTTCAGATTCCAGTTCAAGAGACTGAAAAGTGCCATTTGTTTTGTCAATAAGGATTTTCCAGTCTTGAAATGGAACTGAATGGGCCCAAAGTTTTGGTTGAATTGATTTAATTTGGACAGTTTTAATTTATAACCCATGTCTTGTTGGGAGTAGGTGAGGCGAGGTGTTTATCAAAGACTAATTGCCATTTTTCTAATATATTCATGTTGATAATTCTACTTTTAGCTTTTCAAATCATGGCTACACATCTCAGACTGCATTCAGCTCGGGTGTGTCTCAGTACCGGTTTTCTCTTCTCGGCTCCTATTTGTGTCATTTTGCCATGGTCTGTATGCGCAGGATCCAGCTGTGGAGTGTGAGCGTTGGGACATTGGAGAAGCAGATTTTATTTCTCTTTATTATCAGAAGACAGAAGAAAGCCAAATGACTTCCAGCACAGAGTGCGCCTTACAAAGTCCTGTAACATTCCCTCCTCTCAGTGTAATGAAGGCGAGTGAGTTCCTGCCGCTGGGGGATGTAGAGAGAGGATGAAAGTTCTGTATTTAACTGATACCTGGTTGCAATTGTTCAATAAATAGTTTCCAAATGATGATACTTTTTTAAATGTGTCCGAGTCCAATGTGTGTGGAGCGACTTGATAAATATCAAGTTTTGTTCATTTGAAAAACAAATGTGAACCTGAAAGTTTAAGTTTTGTTGAACATTGAAAAACACAACAATGTATTCAAAATATAAATAAGTTGGCAAAAAATATTTTTGGGATGAATATAGTTTTGACTCTTTGAACGTTGACTATTTTTCAATGTTTCATGTTCAACAACAAAACTTAAACTTTCAGGTTCACATTTGTTTTTCAAATGAACAAAACTTTTGACCTGGAGTTGGCTCCATAGATAAACAGGTTTAAACATGATTTTGTTAGTTCTTTCATCCATATTGTTTGTATGGATCTTTTTTCCAGAAGAGAAAATAAACTCGCAGATGCTTCCCGTGTACAAGGTCATTTCCTTGTCACAGCTCTTGCCGGCTGCCAGGCAGAAACTAGCAGAAACTTCAGGGACCAAACGGCTTAATGAAAGTACATGTTTGTTTGAATAGATAAATGCAGACACGTGCACAGATCGACCCCTAGTGGTGCTCAAGCACCTGCCCGTTTGCCCTGTGCGAGAAAAGTGCCTCTTCTGCTGAATTTTTTCTTCATTCATCAAAATTTGAGAATAAGAAATGGCTGTCATCAATTCCCCCCAAATGTGTTTTTATATCTGGCGTGGCATTTATTTGAAGGGAATTTTGCCCCAACATGCTCCGTGGCGCTCACAAGCCCCGCCTCTTCCTCCTCCTCCTGCTGCTCCTCCTCCTGCTCCTCCCGCTGAGCGCCGGGCCGAACGGCATCCAGACCCATCAGACCAGACCAACAGGTAACGACGGTGTTTGGTGATATATTAAGCACAACATCAGCGCCGCTGAAAACATTACGTTCGAAGTTTCATAAATAATAAACAAAAAACTCTTTCAAAGTCTACGTCCAGCTGTTTACGGACGTTATGTTTAATGAAGAGAGATACAGGCAGGCAGTTTTACCGTTCTACAAATTAGACAAGTTTTCTAGTAATTCTATTAAATTATTGAAATGAAAGGTAAGTGTTAAGTTGAGCTACATGACAGGTGAGGTATATTGTGGTATATTATTAGTGTGATGCTGCTTATGCGTCAACAGAAAACAGTAAAAAAAAAACGTGTGTGTGTTGTCAGCTTTATGGAGAGTATGTAAGTCACTCTTTATTATTATGCACAACATTGATTTAGCTCGTTTACAAAATGTGCAGCATAATGCCAAGAAGAGAGACTGGTGTTCTAAAAATGAAGAAACACCAGACGGACAGAAGACATCTTGGATTGAAAGTTTTTAATAAAGGAGCCGCTGGTTTCTGCAATCAACAGGCCACAGAGCAGCCCATTCTCCAGCCATAGTGCCGGTCTCTTGCTTCCACCAATGAACTCCTAGAGAACAATGGGTGCCTTCAGGTATTTATAGGATCAGTAAAGGTGTGAAAGGCATTGTCCACGCCCCTGGGCAGGTGACTTCTCCTGGTGCTTTCAATGTAATTCGTATTTCGACTGTCTCTCGGTAGTACAGTACTACATGCATGCATTTCAGTTGATTACATTCCATTGGATAGAATCATAGCTGTGCATTGCTATTACTCCATTGATTAGTTTTAAAATGACGGTGGGGTTACACTATATCCATTTCTTTATTGATTAGTTTCAGAATCATGGCTGTGTCCTGGTGTACACTAAATGCGTTTTATTAATTATTAATTGATGAACCGGGTCGTCAGTTTATTTCTAATAATCTACAGACTCCAAAAGGAGCAGCGTGACAGTTGTCATTTCAGTTTTTAGCTCCGGTTTTGGGCAATGCGTGCTTTCTTAACTGCTTTAATGTTGATCTCCTAGCTAATCATCAACAGACTTCTGGCGCTAGGCTAACATACACAATGTTTCTCTGTTGCATAGCAACAGCCACACGTGGGACTATTTTCTCTATGCTACGGAAATGCGATACACAGCGTATTGTGGCTACAACTTTTTCTGTGGAAAGGCAACTATTAACGTCTTATTTGTAGTAAGTCAACAACACCCTCAACCTGTGACATTAAGTACAATATGGCAGTGTTGTCTGTTTTTAGCCTGTTATTCATTTATTCAATTTGAGTTTACACAATAAATATGTAAATTGAAAATATCCTACTGTGTTTTTTGCCTTATATTCACAGGCGCGTGGCACTATTCAGGGTAGTTCATATCATCAGGAAAATAATGGGAGTAACTTGACTCCCATTGTCACATTTAACCCACTCAGCATGTTTGTCCATCTGAGTATCTGTCCATCCCCTTGCATCAGCTTTGCCGCTATGAGGGCAGCAGCCCAGCTCTCCTCAGCGCCTTGTCCGCACTGGGAACCAGTTTTTGGAGGCAGGAGGTGACAAAACACTTACCTGAGCTAAAGAAACATTAAAGGGATTAGAGGGAAATATGACAGACTGTGAGCTGCATGACATTTTATTTGATGAACTCAACTGCCAAAATGTCAAGATGATTTATCAATAGAAGTTCAGGAAAGGGAAGATTTAGATCCTAATGCTCATTGCTGAAAGTTGAAAGAAGATTGAAAAGAAGTCATGCGCAGTTTGTAAGTAATTAAGGCATTTGGGATATGTTTGCAAATTAGCTGCATTTTTAGCTTGAGTTCACTCAACCAAAAATGTCAAACTAATTCACCTCCCCAGAAACAAAATACATCAGCTTTGCTGCTATGCGGGCAGCAGCCCAGCTCTCCTCAGCGCCTTGTCCACACTGGGAATCAGTTTTTCTTGGAAGTCCCACAGTCGCTTGTCCTCATTCAGCTGCTTGAGCGTCAACGACCCACGCAGAGCCACTCGGACATGAATGACTCGACAAACGTCCATGGGAACCTTCAACTGTTGTCCAGAACTCTTGAGCACTTCATGCACTGAAGCCCACTCCACCAACCTGTGATGCACATACACACAAAAGGCTTTGATTGGACTTTCCTTTCCAACAGGATGACCACATGTATTGAGACTTCTCACTACATTAGTGAAGCTAAACTTATTATTTATTTAACAAGAGCACAGAGTTGGTCCTGAATGAGTGTCAGCCTACCTCGGCTGAACGATCATCTTGTGCGGGTGGTATGACTGGCTGTCGGGGTCCTCCCTGTAGATGTGCTCCAGAATATTAACGCCCGGCACCCGGTTCCACTGAGGCAGGTGAAACCTTCCACTCGGCTCAAAATGTTTCTTCGGGAAGATGTGGTTCTGAATAAGGTACACACCTGTCTATATAATGGAATACACCACATAAGATGAGGAGAGAATATAAATATGGATCAATATCAAATATAATCTTACGGTTCGAGTAATATTTTACAAATGGACACCAGAACAATCTCACATTTGGATGCTGTTGTTGGAGGACGTCCATCAGAGATGTGAGGTTGTTGTGTTTGTAAGGCATTATGATCTCGTCGATGTCGTTCAACAGCACGTAGCGTGAGCGGTCCATGGATCTGTAAATACATTCATTAAGTGTGGTCAACTGGCCGAAGTAGTGCACATCCCCTCCGCTCTGTGAGAAGAGCCAACCAGGCGATGGATTCAGGTGCTGGTCGATGGGCCAGGGCACCATCTCCACGAAGCCCTCCTTGCTGTAGATCTGCAGCAGGCGATCAAGATCGGGGCCGCAGCTGGTGTTATAGATCACCACCCTGTCCACACCCAGTAACCTGTGGCCAGTTGAGGAAAAAAGGGTCCAATTTATTACTGTCCACACACACTGCTGAGTACATCACAGTGACTGAGCCGCTGCTGCACATGCAACAAGACCATTTTACCATTTATCTTTGGCCTTCGTCTACAACGTAATGTCTGTTGTTAAACAGAATGCAAAGTGTGCTGTGCTGACCTGTACATCTCCAGGGTCTGTGCAAACTGAAGCACGTTGTTGTAGTCTCCAAACAGGTTGGAGATGCAAACTGTGAAGTTAAACTGCAACTTCTCTTTTTCCTTCCCATTGGATCTCTTATTTCTTATAGGAAGCCAGGGTTGGTCAACTAGCCGGTCCTTTCCTGGCTGAGTCAAGAGATTGACATGTGTGGCGTTGCAGTTTTGGGGAATCTGACACATGACATCCGTAGTGACGTAGGGGAAACCAAAGTTGTCCGAGTGTTGTAAAATTGTTCCAGGAGTTGTACTTGATAACTTGCCTGCACAGCAGAAAACACAGTGCAGTTTTTGGATGGAGTCTCTCTTGAATATTCCAATGATGCGTACGTCCAAGCCATTCACTCTCTGGTCCATGTAGGCCGACACCAGCAAGTGCTTGGTGTTGTTGAGCGGGGTGATGCTTTGCTCAGAGATTTGCCAGGGGCAAGTGTTCGGAGCCCGGTGCGGCAGTGGGATCATTCTGTACGTTCCTGGTGTTCTCACAGTGATGCAGAGGATGAAGAGGAGGATAGCAATGAAGAGGAAGATGAACTTCCCTCTGACAACTTTTGGTTTGTCCATCCAGCCACAAATGTCACCGATTCCCAACCTGAGGCAGAATTAGGAGTACGGTTCAGTGTTTCAGTGTATTAGTCACCAATACAAAATATCGGTTTCTTGTGAAACTCAAAATATTCGTGTTTCTAATGCTCAGTCTTTTTATATTTTATTCAACTAAAAAGAAATAGGGAAAAGCCACTGTTTGAAATGTTTACCATCCAACATTTGCAAGTTACCATGCACATGTTTATTAGAACACAACTTAAAATACAGCTTGGCCGATGCAATGTTTTACGAACTAGATTACCAAAAAAATTGCAATTCACCAGAAGAGGAACGTGGATGTTTTTTGCAACGTTTAAAGTAACTAATCCCTTGATGTTCAACACATTCCACTAAAAATCTAAAATGTCAACCTTATCTGTAGTTACACTCGGCTGATATAATTCAAAACAGTAATATTTTCACTGTAGAGCTGGCTGTTAGAATCAATGAGTCATAAGGAATATTGGTGTTATTTGTGAGCGTGAGAAACTCTTGCAAATCATGCAAAAAACTCACACACTCACTAAATAAAAAGATATTTTCCAACAGGTCGTGCAAAGTAAATGCATTCTATGGTGTAATTGTTTTATTATAGACTCAACAGATATTAGAAGGATACAAATATAACAGTAGGCAGTGAAAGGTACATTTCCTCAAGTACAGAACTCAAGTTGTATTTAGGAGGTACCTTTCTATGCTACTTTATACTTCTACTCCACTACATTACGGAGAGAAGTATTGTACTTTAACCTTCACTGCACCTATTTGAGAGCAAAAAAAGTACCGGCAAAATAAATGAGTCATAAGGAATATTGGTGTTATTTGCGTGAGAAACTCTTAATCATGCAAAAAACTGACACACCCACTAAATAAAAAGATATTTTCCAACAGGTAGTGCAAAGTAAATGCATACATCTTCTGTATAGCACTGTCCCTGTACATAAAATAGCATTTACTCTCCTCGATTCAGTCAGTGTGATTGGATAATTCATTCATGGCTATTCCTTCAGACTCACTAGTGACCTTGACAACTAAAAGGATACACGTCCTGTATGTATTGTCATCAACCGGTCTACACGGCAATGATCAGAGGGAAATGCAAATAACCACGACAATCAACTGACATATTCATTTATAGTCAACATAAGAGGAAAGCCTAAACTAACATAGGTGTGTTGAGTCGGCAAATACATCCAGAGAGCAACCATGAGATCTAGGGCTGGGATTCATTGTCTGAGCTCGATTTGATTTTCAATGATGGTCCTTGTTTTTTGGGACAAAAAATTTGTCGTTTTGAATAAAACATACAGTTTAATGTTCATCCCTCGGATGTAGATTAACAGTGAATGCCGTCATATAAACTTAACAGCAGCTACTGTAACTCAACAGCATAATTTAGTATTTTTGTGAAGCGGTTGATGTTTGCTTCTCTCCCCAGGATCAGTAACTTATTACAATAGAATATCTAAGTCTTTCTTAGTCCACTGGGGTCTTGCACAGAGCTCAGAAAATGCGGTACTGCATTGTCTTTGAAATCTGTTGCGAAAAAAATTGCAACATAACCCCATTTTTTTGTCCCCCAACTCCAGCGGCTGTTGAGTCGGAGCTCTGAAGACATTGTAGACTTTTGTAGCAGTTTACAGTAGGGCTACTCTTTCCTCCAATGTCATTGTTTTTTTTACAATGTGAAGCAGGATGTGGTACTGTGACAGTGGTCTAATAACCTGGTGGTGTGAGGTTTTCTGACTAATTATATATATATATATATAACATATTATACACAGCCAATTTTCTAAGTCTCCTTCATCTACAAGTTTTGAACGTATCCTTTTGAAATCAGATCTGCTTCAATGAGGAAGTTCTCCCATTTATGAAGGAATGTCTTCAATTTAAAGCCACCAGAAACCTCTCGATTAACAGAAGACAGAGCAATCAAGGGCTTAATAACAGTGAAATCCCCCCCCTCACATATTCCTCCTCAGACTGGACATCGTGCAAAACAAAACAAAAACTAAGTTTACTTCTTGTAATGGTGGCCCAACTGACTATTTATATTCCATAACAGGAAAACATCACTATATACAGAATTCTATACAGAACTCAAGTTGTATTTAGGAGGTACTTTTCTATGCTACTTTATACTTCTACTCCAGTACATTACGGAGAGAAGTATTGTAATTTAACCTTCACTGCACCATCCATCCATCCATCCATCCATCGTCAAACCGCTTATCCTGCACACAAGGTCGCGGGGGGGCTGGAGTCCATCTGGAGTCCATCCCAGCCAACTTCGGGCGATAGACAGGGTACATCCTGGATTGGTCGCCAGCCAATCGCAGGACTACACAGAGACACACAACCATTCACACTCACATTCACACATCTATGGGCAATTTAGAGTCACCAATTAACCTGATCCCCAGAGCATGTCTTTGGACTGTGGGAGGAAGGCGGAGAACCCGGAGAGAACCCACGCAGACACGGGGAGAACATGCAGACTCCACACAGAAAGGCCACTGGGTGGAATCGAACCCAGGACCTTCTTGCTGTGAGGCAACGGTGCTAACCACCACGCCACCGTGCCGCCCTTCACTGCACCTATTTAAGCAAAAAAAGAAAAATAATTTGCGTTCTGTGTTGCTAATAATTGATTTTTGCAGGACGGGTAAATTATTACTTTGTCCTTGGTGACTGGCAGTAACAGTTGAAAATCAAGTGTTAAAAAGATCCATGTCCAACATTATAATATAAAGACACCTTTCCAGGAAATTAGACCTGAGATTGCAAACATTTTTAATATGACCACGTGACTTTAGCATTGATTCACGAGCACTGAGCGAAATGGCACTCGCTGTTATTATAACCTGTTCCAATTTTATTTTAGGACTGAAATGTGTCATGAACACTGCACAATATTAACGGAATACCAAAGCGTTTCACAGTGACTGACGTTACGCCACGTCACTTCAGTTGCCTAAACTATAATCTATGTGATTGATAACACGAATTGCGTAATTGAAAATACTCACAAAAATATTGAACCTTTAGTCTTCTTATCGTAGGATCGCTCGCGGGCAAGGAGAGGGATGAGCTGTAATGTTTGCGCCACTGTTCGTCCTCTGCGGATGAGCCTTCAAAACGAGTCACACCTGTGCATCGCGTGTGCGACCGATGCAATGTTTTATGGTAAAGTAATGCACCCGACGTGCGGCGCGTGCACAGCGCATACAGGGTTTACGGTAAAGTACCGGAGCAGCTCTGAGGAGATCATGCGGAAAACCCGATGCAAGTAACAAAAGCCACTTTTGAATCTCAGACGAAAAATCCCCAGAAATCCCCCATTCTTTGGGATAATAAAGTACATGATAAATAAATCAAAATTATTTTATTAAGTTGTATACATTTGCCTTAAAAGGAATAATCCCCGTCTGGATGTCAAAGTAAAAACGTTTAGTTTTAGTTTACTTTAAGATGAAGGAACAGAACACAAATGTAAAAACTACTTTGACTATATATCTACACTTTGATAGAAAGACCATACGTAACATTAATAAATACAGCTTTTGAAATAACCACAACTGTAGAAATGCATGAATTTATTATAAAACACCTGATATTAAAGAGGTTGATTTACACTAGAAGGGCATGAATTTATTGTAAACACACTTGTTATTAAAGAATGTCTATGTGCAAATTTTAATTCGTAACATAGAGAGAGACACCAAGTAGTTTTTATAACCACACTAGAAATATGGGGACAGAGGAGGCCTCTTGTAAATCAAAATGGAAGCCGTGCAGGTACCATGTTGTACAAAACAACCCCTTTTGTGTAAGCTGCATCGAACTACAAAATGGACGGTTATAATAAATCAAACACCAGTATGTTTAACCAATGAGAGGCAACCACGCCTGTGTGATGGAAAAACGTATATATAAACTGACTGTTATCCTTTGTTTGTGTGGCTCACAAGCTTAAGGCAGCAATTGTTGGCAGACCAGCTGTGAATGGCCTGGACTGCTGAGGCTTGTCAAGTCCTCGTTTTGAGAAATATACTGTATCACAACTACTTTTATTAAATCTTTTTTATTGTAAAAAAAAAGAAAAAAAAAAGAAAAGCACTAGCAGATTTCGCTACAGAGCAAACATTTCAAACCATTCAAGTTGTGTCTTTATGCCAACCGTATTTGACCAACATAAAAATAGGACATCTCAGTGAATATGGCATCTTCTGCCTCAGATATTTGTCTGTTAGATATGAAGTCCGGAGACAGTTAGCTTAGCTTAGCATTAAGACTGGGAACAGATGGATACAGCGAGTGAAGGAATGAACGTACTATCGGGATCAAAATTGGAAGCCCGGTTGGGGACATCTGGAAGAACTCCGCCAAACAGATTTCTGGTAGATTAATTTGTCAGTTCACAAGTCAAATATCAGCGCTGCGTTTGCAAAGGCAAACAGGCCGCAGGCCGGAAGAACATCACATTTTATACTGGTTGTTGGATATAGAAGAAAAGGTTTCTATTGGCCCTAAACTGGCGTCAAGGAGGAGCAGGTCCTCCCACCGCAACACTGGATCCAATCACAAACGATGTGTGCTCTCCTAAAATTAATGTAAATATAACAAACGGAGCTTGAGTGTTGAATGGTGCTTGGTGTGTCTTTAAATCTCACCCTTATCAGACGTGTGTCTGCCTGGTTGGCACTTTCTGCTTTTCCCTCTGATCTTGCACTCCTCAAGACAGTGACTCCCCAAATGAGCACTAAGAAAAACGTTTTTGATTTTTTTTTTCTAGCTCTGTTCAGGATTCTGCGGCTGGTAGGGCCTCTTGTCCAGCGGGAACAAAAGATGCATATCCTAAAACAACATTACATGATGCAGCCAATCGGACCTTGCCATGAGGCCACAACGTTTTGTGATGATGTAGATAATGTCGGTTCATCTAATGCATCATCTCTGCCTCTCTCAAGTCAGCAGGCCCGCTTCCCTCAGCACCTTATTCAATCCGGGGAGCAGTTGTTCTGTGAAGTCTCTCAATCGGGTGTCAACGTGAAGCTGCTCCAGCGGTCGTTGTGTCGGGGTACTGATTGGGGAGTGAATGATTCGACACACATCTGGGGGAACCTTAAACATCTGTCCAATCATCTTGAGCACTTCATGTACCGAGGTCTGCTGCACCATCCTGTGACACCAAACATCGACACCATCACACACATGATACGTTACTGCTACAAAAGTTTTTTTTACAATGTATTATTCATTTACTATTATTAAAAAATATATATAAAATTAAAACGCCGTGAGAAGAGAAAATACACAAACAATGGTTTTAGCCCGAGGAGTCGGTCTACCTTGGCTGAACGATCATCTTGTGGGGGTGGTAAATAGTTCTGTCAGGCTCTTCCTTGTAGATCCGATCTAGGATATTAAAGCCTGGCACCCCTCTCCAACGAGGCAGGGGACCCCATTTACTTTCATTAAAGGGTTTCTTGGGAAATATATGGTTCTCAATGAGGAACACCCCCTTCTGTAGAATGTGAGTTTGGCAGGTGCAGCGTGGAGGTGGAAAAGACATGAGGCACTATAAATGATAAATAAGGTACAGGAAACTGCATTTTCATTCTGAACAAATCACCTTACATTTGGATGCTGTTGTTGGAGGACGTCCATCAGAGATGTGAGGTTGTTGTGTTTGTAAGGCATTATGATCTCGTCGATGTCGTTCAACAGCACGTAGCGTGAGCGGTCCATGGATCTGTAAATACATTCATTAAGTGTGGTCAACTGGCCGAAGTAGTGCACGTCCCCTCCGCTCTGTGAGAAGAGCCAACCACGCGATGGATTCAGGTGCTGGTCGATGGGCCAGGGCACCATCTCCACGAAGCCCTCCTCGCTGTAGATCTGCAGCAGGCGATCGAGATCGGGGCCGCAGGTGGTGTTATAGATCACCACCCTGTCCACACCCAGTAACCTGTGGCCAGTTGAGGAAAAAAGGGTCCAATTTATTACCGTCCACACACACTGCTGAGTACATAACAGTGACTGAGCCACTGCTGCACATGCAGACGGCTTGGCCAGTTTAAGCGGGTTTTAATACCATTATACCATTTATCTTCAGCCTTTGTCTACATCATAATGTCTCCTGTTAAACAGAATGCAAAGTGTGCTGTGCTGACCTGTACATCTCCAGGGTCTGTGCAACCTGAAGCACGTTGTTGTAGTCTCCAAACAGGTTAGAGATGCAAACTGTGAAGTTAAACTGCAACTTCTCTTTTTCCTTCCCATTGGATCTCTTATTTCTTATAGGAAGACAGGGTTGGTCAACTAGCCGGTCCTTTCCTGGCTGAGTCAAGAGATTGACATGTGTGGCGTTGCAGTTTTGGGGAATCTGACACATGACATCCGTAGTGACGTAGGGGAAACCAAAGTTGTCCGAGTGTTGTAAAATTGTTCCAGGAGTTGTACTTGATAACTTGCCTGCACAGCAGAAAACACAGTGCAGTTTTTGGATGGAGTCTCTCTTGAATATTCCAATGATGCGTACGTCCAAGCCATTCACTCTCTGGTCCATGTAGGCCGACACCAGCAAGTGCTTGGTGTTGTTGAGCGGGGTGATGCTTCGCTCAGAGATCTGAAAGGGGCAAGTGTACGGAGCCTGGTGCGGCGGTGGGATCATTCTGTACGTTCCTGGTGTTCTCTCAGTGATCCAGAGGATGAAGAAGAACATAAATATGAGGAGGAAGAAGAACGCCCATCTGACACATTTTGGTTTGTCCATCCAGCCACAAATGTCACTGATTCCCAACCTTAGGGAGAATGCAGGAATCAGGAAACATTTAATACCAAAATATGTCAGACATACAAGGAATTTGACCTGGCGGTTGGTGCATAACAGCAGACAGTTAGACAAAGGACAACAAGACAGATAAGACAACATAGTGCAAGAGGAATAAAATAGAATATAATAAAATATAAGTCTATAGGTTAGTTTAAAAATGAAAGGATAACAGAAAAAAAAAGTTAAAAATAAAGTGCACCAGATAGCCATACTCTATACAACTGTGTTGTCAGCGTATGTGAAAGTGACAAGTGACAAGTTTATGTGCATGTGGAGTGTGAAGGGAGTGATTGGTGGAAAAAGGGATGTCAATGTTAGTCAGTGGGAGACCAAGGCTCTGTTGATGAGCCCGACTGCCAACGGGAAGGAAGTCTTGGTCCTGATGGACCTCAGCCTCCTGCCCGACAGGAGGGGCACTAACTAATTTTGACCGGGGTGAGAGGGGTCACACAAACCAATCTCAGTTAGTTTGGTGAAGTTAGCAAGATATTCACATATTCAGACATCACGGTTCAATAGCTGTTGTTAAAACACAAACGACACCTCTCTGTAACCCTAATTAACCCTAATTTTGCCAATATACGGACTAGTGCAGGAGCTGTACAAATCACATTGATCTTAATGAAGTCGCCTGTGAGACAAGTGCGCAGTGCACCGTTTGCAAAGTGCAATGCCGAAAAACATACAACAGAAATATTTAATTACTTCACTATTATGAATGGTAGTATCACCAAAGCCATGTCATATGTCCAAGGGATTGTTCTTGTTGTACTACACCGGTTATTTTTGATGAAGCTTTTGCATTATTTTAATTAACTTAACTTAACTTAACTGACTTAATAACTTAATTCCAATGCAATGTAGTACCATTTAGTTTCACAACCACGATCTTATTTGGATCTTATTTAATTTCCAGAAACCCGAATATTGGTTAAGGAGCACTTTCATGAATTAATATACACACAAGATCTTATATTAACTAAAGGATTCTTCTTAAAATATTTGAGCCAGCTGTCATTGGTTTGGTCAAACTAGTGCTCTTGTAAACCTACACTCACAGGCCACTTTAGTAGGTACACCTGTTCATTTGCTTGTAACACAAATTGGTATCACATGGCCGCAACTCAATGATGGTGGTATTTTTACGCATTGTACTTGGCAGACGGTCCCTTCCCACTCGCCTCAAAAGCGGCCGCCCATTAAGACCAAAATGATTCGTCCAGCTCGCTGAGCGGTCTGTTTTGGTAAAATGATGGTTAATACGGGTTGTCGACATTAATACGGTTACATAGAGGTGCTGTTCGTGTTTTAACGTCGTTTCGCTGACGAGCTATTGAACCGTGAAGTCGGAATCTATAAATATCTTGCTAACTTTACCGAACTCTGCTTTGAAGGGCTGCAGTTACAGTCGCTGTAAAATAAAGGCTGGCGCATGCTTCTGCGTCTTTATGCACCGTCGTGTCGACGCACTCGTTTCAATTCATGGTTCAAAAAATCTAAAACGCCAGAACAATAGGGGGAGTAACGTGTTTTGTTGAAGACCACCTAGAGAGTCACGTCTTTGTTTGTGGAAGTCGTTGGTTTTATTTATTTATCATAGACTTTATTGCCCCGTGCATCGCCACTGCTGCTTTTCATCGCGGACACAATTGTCCCGTATTTTCCTCCACAACTTTGTTCACCCCCCGACCGGCACACCGACGTTTTCGGAGATCTCCCTCCATGAATCGGGAGGCCATCCGCGCGTCCTTATAGTCCGCCAACGACGCGTTGTACAAGTAGTCATATTTACGCATTTCGTCCTACTGTTAATTCATCTTACATTCCTACACGTGTATAGTAGGATATATACGGTGTAACGGACTGTTGCTTCTGTTCCGTGAGCGAGTTACACACAAGTTCAGTGAAGGGCTCACAATGTTTTATGTCAATGATGCTTGTGCCGCCCATGGACATGTGTTGTGGGGATGTTTGTGGGTGGGTTAAGTAACGGAATGCGGGAGCGTTGCGGGGTTATGGAAGCCCATTTCCGCCACACAAAAAAAGAAGGGTCAGAAAGTCGAAATTATGACATAAAAAGTCGAAATTATGACTTAAGTTATGCGCATGCGCAGGCTCCTTCGTTGTTTGTTACATTGACTTTCCAAACCCTCTTGGCGACTTCTTGTCAAAAGCGACCGGCGACCTTATCTGGTTTTATTGGAGACTTTTGTCGGACGTGACGTGACTGAAGCAGAAACCTGGCGACTCGCGGCGATCCAGTTGCAGTCGGAGCACAGAGGAGACCTACGTCACGTCCAGACCGGAATGAACGCGGGCATGCGCAAAGCCGCCGCTGATTCTGCAGCGTCTTTCCTCATTGAGAAATTGGCAACACTAGTTCAATAAAGAGAGAGCTCTCTTCAGGACTTTTCAATCGTTACTAATCACTATTACTACGGAATAAATACCACCCGGAACGCATTTTATCTCCCTAGAAGTATGATTTATTTCGGACTCGGAAATACCGAAGATAATTTAGACTCCGCTTGAAGTCTATACAAAGTAAAAGGAGTAGTACAATGGGTAAAAGGCCATTGACATGACATGGTTTTGGTTGTTCTACAGTCCATAACAGTGGGGCTATTGAACGTTATTTGCAATAAATATTGAAAGATAATCATAGAAAATAGTCAGAAGCAATTTCTATTCAAAGTAAAAGGTGTAGTACAATGGGTGAAAGCCCATTGACATATGCTATGATTTCTGTGGTTCTACGGTGAATAACAGTGGAGTTATTGAACAAATTTTCCATAAATATTGAATAATATTCATAACATAGTCTGAAGCAATTTCTTTTGGGGATTTTGGTGGTTCTAGAGTCCATAACAGTGGAGTTATTGAATGTTGTTTGCAATAAATGTTGAATATTATTCATAGAAAATAGTCAAAAGACATTTTCAAACATAGTAGAAGGTGTAGTACAATGGGTAAAAGCCTATTGACATATGCTATGATTTTGGTGGTTCTAGAGTTCATAACAGTGGAGTTATTGAACGTTGTGTCAAGGATGGGTGGAGGAAGGCAGGACTCTAGCGCAGACTTCTTAAACAAAAGAGACTTTAATCGTCCAAAAGGCAAAAGCAAAAGGCCAACAGGCAAAAACGCACACGAACCAGGGGAAAAACGGCAGGCAGGAACTACGAACATCCACGACGATAGACAATGACGCAACAAATGACAGGAGACACACACCGCTTAAATACACTAGGGAGGTGCAGGTGATTGGACACAGGTGGAAACAATCAGACAATCACAGACGATGACAGGACAAGGCAGGAAGTGAAGTTACCCAGGGAGACAAGAAGCAGAAAAATACAAAATAAGACAGGAAATAAAACCACACCGTGACACGTTTGCAGTAAATGTTGAATATTATTCATAGAAAATAGTCGAAAGACATTTTCAAACATAGTAAGACGTGTAGTGCAACAGGTACAATTCCATGGACCTATGACATTATTGTGGGGATTCATAATAGTGAAGTTATTGAATATTTCTGAAATGTGTTTTTCCACATTGCACTTTGTAGACGGTCCCTGCGCACTCGTTTCATGGGCGGCCACTCATTAAGATCAATGTGATTTGTACAGCTCCTGCACTGGTCCGTTTTGGTAAGATTATGGATAATTATGGTTGTAAACATCACTACGGTTACAGAGAGGTGTCGTTTGAATTCCAACAACGTTTCGCTGACGAGCAATTGAATCGTGAAGTCTGAATCTGTGAATATCTTGCTAACTTTACCGAACTCCTGTCCTCCCTGTTTGTTATGAGGGTGGAGTGAATGTGTGCAAGTGTCCGCAGAACTTTTACAGTTCGCTAAAGTTGGCAAGATATCAGATTCGGACTTCCTGGTTCAATAGCTGGTCAGCGAGAGGTTGTTAAACACAAACGACACATCTGTGTGACCGTAGACCGTAGTCACCAACCAAGTCATAATTTCGACTTTCTTAAGTCATAATTTCGACTTTCTTGAGTCATAATTTCGACTTTTTAAGTCATAATTTTGACTTTCTAACCCTTCTTTTTTTGTGGCGGAAATGGGCTACCATACAGGGTTCGGCGCAGTGGGCCGACAGTACCATGTTTCTTAATAAATCCTTATGAAGAGCAAGTAATTAAGCGAGAGTCGCTACAATAGTCAAAGTATTTCTTAATTTTAACGTAAACTAAACTTTTTTACTTTTAATTCCTTATAAGGCTTGTAGGTTTTTTACTTTGACGTCCAGACGGGGAGCATTCCTTATAAGGAAAATGCATACAACTTTACTGATTCATTTTGATTAATTTCTCATTTACTTTATTACCCCGAATAATGTGCATTTCTGTAGATTCTTCGTCTGAGATTCAAAAGTCGCTTCCGTTACTTGCATCGGGTTTCCGCGTGATCCCCTCAGAGCTGCTTCGGTACTTAACGGGAAACTTGTCTTACCGTAAAACATTACATCGGTCGAACACGCGATGCTCAGGTGCGACTCGTTGGATCCGCAGGACGAACAGTGGCGTGAGGGGGAATTTCCGAGGAAACCAAGTGAACCTCTAAGCTGTGTTTGTTTCAGGCGGGTGGGACACAAAACCGTATCTCGCTATTCCGGCCCGCGCACAGATAGACCCCTGGTGGTGCTCAAGCCCCAGTCCCCTTGCTATTGTGCTGGAGCACTAATTCTTTCTTCATTTATCAATATTTGAGAATACACAATTACTCTCTCTATCATCAATTCCCCCCAAATGTGTTTTGATATCTGACGGGCCATTTATTTGAGTTCTAGTGAGAATTTCGCCCCAACACGCTCACAGGCCCCGCCCCGCCCCCCCACCTCCCCCTCCTCCTCCTCCTCCTCCTCCTCCTCCTCCGCTTCGTGCAGCGCTGAGCACCAAACGGATGCAGCATCGGCTTCGCCGGTCTGGCAATATTACAAGGTGTCGGAAAAAGATAATAAATTTGCAGTTTGCAACGTCTGCTCAAATGTGGTTCCCCGTGGAGGAACGCGTGACGAACGCGTCACGAACCTCATACGGCATTTGAAAGCTTGTCACATCAAGGAATTTGAGGAGTTTACGAAGTTGGCGAGCGTTAAGGCGGATAAAGACAAAGAGCGTGCAACCGCTTCCCAAACGCCACCCACTCAGCTGACCGTAACAGAGACATTGAAGCGACAGCAACCATACAGCAGTGACAACAAGAGACGAAAGGAATTAAATGCAAAGGTAATGGAATTCATATGCCTTGATCAGCAGCCGCTGTCTGTTGTGGAAGACGCCGGGTTCAAACGCCTTGTATCCTGCTTGGATCCACGCTATACGCTGCCGGGCCGAAAATACCTAACTGATGTTTGTCTGCCGGAATTATACCGAAATGTCTACACGCACATCGAGAGCCTTATGAAGGACAACGTCAGGGCAGTTAGCTTCACGAGTGATATTTGGAGTTCGAGTGTCTGTCCCGCGTCTATGCTGAGCCCAACTGCGCAGTTTATTACGCAGCACGAGTCTTCCTCTCCGCACCTTGTACAAGTGTAGATAGCGAGCGACTTTTCAGCACAGCAGGACATATTTTAGATGAGAAGAGGAACAGGTTGACTCCTAAAAATGCTGAGATGCTTATATTTATCAAGGCAAATCTGCCAGTGATGCTGCTTAATCAGAAGTAAGGTTTGAATACTCTAGGATGCCCACTCTCCGAGTGAGTGAGTGAGACACTATACAGATAGATATACATGTTTTGTTTAATTGCTGACTTCCTGTGCACCTTTTAATCTTTATTCTGTCAGTTATCTCCTCCTATAAGCTCCAAGTTCTATTGAGAGCCTCTAGAGAGTGGAATGTTGCACATGTTATTCTATTTATTTATATTTATATTTTTATTTTGTTATTAATATTTATTATTATTTACACATTTTATAGTAAGCGAGAGAGCTTTTCTACATTGGAATGCTGCACGTTCCCTGCAATAAAACGGATGGTTGTCAATTCATGATACTCTCTCGTCTCGTAATTTAAATACTTAAAATACAAAACCAATGTTGTTAAGAATAATTCATTTCATAAATAATGCTACACAATAAATAGAATGCTTAAATCGACACCGTGATCGGTGATCGGTATTATCGGATCGGCAGATACTGATTTCAGTGATCGGTGATCAGTGATCGGCACCAAAAAACCTGATCGGAGCATCTCTAATTTGTAGGATGAGGCGACGGTGATCTGTTCGGTTCCCCGAAGCAGGTTTCTCTAAATCACCATAGCAACACATCGACAAACATGAACCTGCTCCGGAAGCAGGTTCATCTGAGCCGCTGGATTAGTTCATCACTCCCCGGAAAAAAAGGGCAGCTCACTTCCTCATTGATGAAGGAGCGACATCAGTTAGATTAACGTTTTATAGGGACATACTTCTCAAATCACAAAGATCACAAAGACCAAAGTTTAGCGCTGAGGACAAGGAATCAAAGATTTCCCCCTTACGTTACGTGATGAACACCACACCCTGCAGCCGAGCATCCACTGTCCCGCAGACTGTCTCATATACTGTCTGACACCCCAGACAGCAAAATGTATTTGGGCCAGATCTGGGCCAGGTTTTTATTAGCATTTGGCGCGGATCCACTTAACGGACCTGATCCGGGGTCTTTTTTCCCAACGGCCCAATACCGTAACAGGTTGGAATTACGGATCAGAGAGAGATCTGGGCCCGCACTGGCCCAGTACAGTTATTAACCCCATGACGTGTGGTGCGGATCTGGCCCAAATCCGCGACTCATATCTTACATCTGGGGCTCACCTGGCTGTGGTCTGTGACAGCCCAAACAAATACCCACACAATTTGTAAGTTATTTATTTGAATAAGGCAAAAGAGCACTTACAGCATGAACAGCGTGTACGTGTGTGCATGCAGAAAAAAAAGGTATAAAAAAGAGGTATAAAATGTCATAAACAGTAACAGTAAAAATATAAACAACATACAAAACCTAATGTGATCACTGCAGCTCAGTTGGTTGTGACCGGGCACGGCGACCACCCCCCACGGTCGCAAGCCAGATTAAACCATCTGATGGCTATTTGATTAATTTCGGTGCTGTGGCTTCGTTCGAAAGCAGATTCTTCCTCACTGCTCCTGTAAGAATTTAAAAAGCACACAAAGCAAAGAAACAAAGAGTAAACGTTAGATAAAATATATATAATAAAACAAATCTTTATGACATTATAGTAAAATGCTTGCACAAATAAATAATAAATGTGACACAAGCGGCGTGGCGGGAGTTATCAGTGAATGAATAAGAGAGTAGTGATTCAGTAAGGACTGAGAGAAAGGCATCTATATATACACAGCAAAATGGACAGACTCAAATTAACACTATTGGAGTTAATTCTAACACTTTTAAAGTGTCCCATGGGGTCCCCACTCCACAGTGTCAATGTAACACTTTTTAAAGTGTTGCCATTTTAACACTGTAATAGAATTCATTTTAACTCTTATATAGTTGATATTTAACAATACTCAAGCGTTAGTTTCTCAACACTAGTGGGTAGTGTTAGAAATGAATATTCATCGGAGTAATTAATTAACTCTTATAGTGTGATGTGCATACTATAAAATGAGTTGCCCCAATAACACTATAATGTGTTATTGCTGCCCCCCCCCTCCGCACCCTCCACACCAAAAAAAGAATCTTTAAATAAAATGTCAATGTTACATGCCAGACGGGGACGGTCTGCATGTGTTCTTGTCGATCTCCCTCCTGCTCATTGGTTTCTCTCCCCCAGTGATTATGCTGATTGGCCAACTCCAAACACAGGTGGAAAGCAATCAGCAGTTCCGGTGGCAGTCCATAAAGGAAGACTCCTGAGAAGTGAAGTGGGTGTGGTCTGTGCTGCGGGCTGGTGGCCAGTCTTCCTGTACGTGAGCTTTAGCTGGCTGCTAGCAAAACTGGAGTTTGGTAAGGTGGAGGTTGAGGACCTTAGTAAGTTGGGGTACCCTGTACATTCTTGCACGTAGGTATACCTTTGTATAGACACACTAGGTGTAGTGGTTGTTGCCTCCTGTGTAACGTTTTCCTTTAGTCCTTTTTAGAGAAGCAGGTAAGGTATTTTGTTTGACTTGTTTTGGATGAAGAGCCAGTGGTGAGCTAGGCCTCGTTTTGTTATATTCATTTCATTTGTTTGGCACAACCTGTAGGTCCCATCTTCCACCATCTCCCTCCCTCTTGTTGGGACCTTCTTTTTGTGTAAGAATAAAAACTAGAAAGACACCTTTTACCCTGACTCTGTCACCTTTCTTTGATTGTTGTTTTACTGTCCTGGAGTCTACAAAAGGGCCGTAACACAAGTGGGGGCTCGTCCGGGATCTTTCCCTTGAAGAAAAGAAGAAAAAGTCGGTAAAAGGGGAAGAATTAATTTGTAGTTTGGTCAACGGTAACCATGAATTTTGACTTGCAGGATTTTATTGTAAATCCAAGTTTTGAAAAAGTTGACTTGTGCCGAAAAGATGATTTATTGTCCATCGCATCCCATTTTGATATAAGCGTTCGAAAGTATAGTCTTAAACGGGACATAAAAGACAAAGTATTAGAACAATTGGTAGAGTTAAAGGTCCTAGCCGTTCCTGTTGGGGAGGATCTTCCAGGTGCGGGTGCTGGAGCTTCCCCTGTTGGAAGCAAGGGTACACCGGCTACTCCTTCGGGTGAAAAATTTGAACCTGAGGTACCTCCTGCAACCTTGCCCCGTTTTGAACCTTTTTCCCTAGAGCTCCATGTATCCAGTGGGGATGCCAGGCTGAAGGTCCGCCTAGCCCGCCTTCAGCTCGAAGCCCAGGAAAAGGAAATGGTGCGTAAAGCAGACTATGATCTTCAATTACAGGTACGCAGGCTGGAGATAGCGGCTGAAAAAGAAGTCAAGCTGCGTCAGCTGGACATAGAGGCCATGAGAATTGCTGCGGGACCACAGTCGACACACACCTCAAAATCTTCCCATACCAGCCATAACCAACCAGGTTTTGATGTCAGCAAGAACATCGCACTTGTGCCAACATTTCGGGAGTCTGAGGTTGACTCCTACTTCAACGCTTTTGAGAGAATAGCTACTGCCCTGGTCTGGCCCAAGGACATGTGGCCGATATTGCTTCAATGTAAACTGGTGGGTAAAGTCCAGGAGGTTGTGTCATCTCTCATTAGAAGAGAGTTTGAAGTATGAAATGCTCAAGGAGGCAATTTTGCGTGCCTATGAGCTCGTGCCTGAGGCATACCGACAAAAGTTCAGGAACCATAAAAAGACTAGTGAACAAACTTTTGTGGAGTTTGCTAGAGAGAAAGGGGTACTGTTTGATAAATGGTGTGCTGCCAGTGAAGTAAAGGATAATTTTGAGTCCCTTCGACAATTAATACTGGTAGAAGACTTCAAGGGCACTTGACCAGAGAAGGTGGTAGTATTCTTAAATGAACAGAAGGTGACGTCTGTGTCAAAAGCGGCAGTCCTAGCCGATGAGTTTGTCCTCACGCATAAGCATGTGTTTGTGTCTTCCTTCCGCTCGGACAGAGAGGCACCGCTACGTCCTATGGGGCAGCGTATTGGCCGTCCACCATTTGACAAGTTTAAGGGACCGCCGTCTCCACCTCGTAGTGATCGGGAGTGCTTTTATTGTCATAAGAAAGGACATGTCATTTCGGATTGTTTTTCTCTGAAGCGTAGACAACCGGTCTCGCCTGACCCACAAAAGCCAAAAGGCATGGGTCTGATTAAAGGGGTGTCACCACCAGTAGCTGGAATGTCAC